ACCAAATTCTCGATGTCAGCGAAAAAGGGTCCTACAAGCTCGGAACGATGAATGGGGAACAACTACCGAGAAATTGAAACATATCTCACCTAAAACGGTACTATTGCTAAGGTACGCCCCTTTTCCATTTCCTTTTCTATTTCAGATTAACACTTGCAGGTGGTCGAGAAGAAACGACGATAGATTTTTAGATATGAAAGCACGTGTTGCACTCTTTTTCCCTCAGACCAATTTTGTCCCAAATGGGTTTTTTTGGCGAGGTTTTTGACGAGGCAACAATGAATCGTGCTAACTTAGAATCAAGCCCGATTATGAATCAGCATCGAAGATCCATTCAACAATATCCGAGGTTTCTTTACAATCAACCTCGAATACTGGGGGGGCTACCATCAGACATTCGTTATCTTCGAATAACAACTCTAGCGAGGAAACTACTTCATAAAGGGAGGGTCTCGATAGATAAAGTTTATTGTAAGGGTCAAACGGTCAAAACGAACCGTGCCCACGTAGATTGCTCGAGCCATGTTTTGATCTAGAATAAAGAGAAGTACCTTCCTTACAAACATCTTATACTTTACAAACATTTCTTTAAATCTTCTCTCTTTACATCTCTTAAAAAGCTTCGTACTTCCGAGCCCAAGGGCAATACTCAACCAGAATACGAACGATCGCTCCCTCACTCGGGGACTGTCGTCTGACTCAAACAGCCCAAGTCATCGGGCCTCGGGAGCAAAAGACCTAATAGGCAACTCTCCGATTTCTAAAGGTCACGGCCACCACACTCGGGGACTATTATCTCGGGCAAGCTCGGATAAAATGGGAAAACAAGCCCAATGGGTAGCTCCCGAACTAAAAGGCTACGGCCAATTTAACACGGTTTGGAGACGTCCGAAATCCGTAAAAAAAAATATGCCTTCGAATAAGAGAAAATTCTTTCACAACCTGTTCTAAAGGCTACCCTCGGCAAAAGTATTAAACTTAAGATGTTTTCGGGGGAAAACTTTGGTAACATCGAACCCCAATAACGGCTTAACCTAGAAAGGCAGTAAAAGCAAGGTTTGTTTGAACCCTCGAACACAACCTTATTTCATGCTAAGGCATTTTCAACCTTTGTAAATACAAATGACAAAGCAAAGGAAAAGTATGAGAGCCGAAAGGGAAAGAAAAGCCTTATATTTATATACAATAGTTTTTTACAAAGGCCAAATCGACCTAATACAAATATTTACAACGGCCAAAAACGGCCTCAGAAAAAATGCAAAAGATAAACAAAAAATCCTAAATGTCTTGGTCTTCATCGGAGGTTGCATCTCCATCCTCGAGATTTTCTCCATCTTCGGATTCACTCGAGCTCTCGGAGTCTTCCTCGGGGAAGACCAGCCTCCAGGCCCTGGCTTCCTCTACTTTGGCATTTTCGATCTCAACCATAATATCGAAACCTTGGGCATGAACTCCCTCGAGGGTTTCCCTTCGAGCTTGCCATTTTGCATGATCCACCATGCCATTGGCCTTGGCCTGGATGGCCTCGACGTCGACCCTAAACTGGGCCACTTTAGCATCAGCGTTTGTGTTGGCCACGGTCACCTCGGATCTGGCCACGTCCACCTCAGATCTGGCCACTTCGAGTTTGTTGGCCAAGCTTGCCTTATCAGAAACGGCCAAATTCAACTGAGACTGAAGATCCTTGATCTTCTCGACCTGCATCGAGGCCTTCTATTTTGCAGCTTGGAGCTGGGTCTCGGCCGACTCCAATTGCGCTTGGATAGTTTCCTTTTTCGAGGCTAGGATGTCCATGTTCTTTTTGAATTCTTCCGCCTCGGCATGTATCGCATCCACCTGCGTCTGGAGCCGTCTGATTTGTTCGAGTCTCTGTCGGACCTACAGAACCGGATCATTAGTGGTTATCTCTGATTTGTATTCACTATCGTGAAGCACTCGAAATACCTGCTCGGCTATCTCGGCATGCTCATCCTAAGCCGTTACTAAATCGGCCTGAAGCTTTTCACTAAGAAGCTTGTAGGTGTCATTTTTCTCAGTGAGGTCCCGAACCTCAGCCCCGTGCTCCTCGCGGATTCGGAGGAAAGCCTTGTGATGCAATACAGAAGCCTGCAAACAAGGAAAAAGATGTTAGAATTATCTACAACTCCAAGTATAAAAGAAATAATATAGGGACCCTCGAAGTTACCCGATTTAGTGCATGTTGGGACTCATTGAAAAGGCAAGCGGCTCCTACCGCGTTCATCATGGCTTAGTCTTCCACGGTGATCAAGGATCTAAGGTAGCTAGCAATCCCCACGGGGAAGGAGAAAAACTGGGCATCCTCCGGGACAGAAAGCACTATATTCCGCCTGCGGTCGGGGTTAACACTCGGAGTCGGGAATCGGTCCATCAGTTTTAGGCTCGGTGAAGACCCGATAGCCCCCGATGATAGTACTTTCTTCGGTATCGGTAAACCGCCAAATCCGGTGACATCCTCTAAAGCAACGGACTCGAACCCATCCAAAAAGCCATGGATATCAGTCGCCCCATGAATACCCTCTTAAGAGCGACCTTCCAACATATTGGCCTCACGGATCATAGCGTCCGAAATCTGAGGGGATCCAGAAATATCGACCATCCTGAGCTCGTCCCTCGAGACATCTTTTGCTGCTCGGGAAGCCTCATCCTCGGTCTCTCTCTTGACCATCTCAGTTTGGGACGGAGTGGCCTCGACTCTTTCTGGTTCAGGAACTTCGGCCAAAGCTCCCTCATCAACCTCCGCCGATTCAGAGAACTTTTGTATCAAAACATTAGCCCGCACACGGGCCACTAATTTGGAATTATCTTCCTTTTCTCCTTCTTCGGGCTCATCCTTTAATCGGCGGATCAAGTCCGAAGGCATAGCACCGGTGTCCCCCTTAGGCTTGCGAGACTTCCTCGCCGGTTTTTTCTTTTCTGAGCTCGGGGAACTCGGAGCCCCTTTTCTCTTCTTCTCTTTGGCTTGCTTCGGAGCAGATGGAAGGACTTCTTCGTCACCAGATGGGGGCCTAATTGCAACATCCTTCCCGGGGCCTACAAAAGAAAAAAAAAGGGGAGTAAGCAAGAGAAGAAGATCGAATGATAATCGTTCCAAGAGAGAAACTTACCATGACTGTGGGCCTCCCATCGACCCTTTGATAACTCCATCCAAGCACGCTCGAAGTATGGTCTCTACGACACAAGGCCCTCGACCCATTGCTTGAGTTCCGGAATCGGTTCCGGCATCTGGGCCACAACTGTAACACCAAAAACAAAAGTAGATAAGGAAAGAAAATGAAAAGTAAAACAGCAAAATAGAACGTTCGAAGGGAAATACTACTCACGATTCATGTTCCATTTCTCAGGAAACGGCATGTCTTTAGCAGGGATCAGGTCCGAAGTCCTTATTCGGACAAATCGGCCCATCCAACCTCGGTCACGAGCCTCGTCTATGCTCGAGAACGGGGCTTTGTTGGCTCGGCGAGCAAGCTTGATCAGCCCTCCTCGACAGAGTCGGGGACTGTAAAGGCACATAAGGTGATCGAATGTGAAAAGACACCCCTCGATTTTGCTTGAGAAGAATCGAAGGAGAATCACTATTCTCCAAAAAGAAGGATGGATCTAGCCGAGGGTCACGTCGTATCTCTTGCAGAAGGCGACGATGACAGGATCTAAGGGACCCAACGTAAAGAGGTAAGTGTACACACTTAGGAACCCCTCCACGTGGGTATTAATCGATTCCTCGGGCGATGGGACTACCACATGCTTTTTGTCCTAGTTGCATTCCTTTTTAACTTTGTCGAGGATTTTCTCGGTAATTGAGGACATGTACCTCGAGACCGGCTCACATCGACCTGGTACCGAGGAGGCTTTTTCGACCTTAAAGTCGATGACGGTTAGGCACCCTACCGGAACAAATTCCTCACGGTGGGGCTCCACCGCATCCTCAACACCGGCGGGTCTTGATAAAGAAGCGGACTCTTTTTGCGGCACGGTTTTGGAGGTTTTCGCCATTGATGAAGAAGGGAAAAGAGAATTAGGATGGTATGCAGTTTGATTAGAGTTCTAGAAATTTGGATGTGAAAAATATGAAGCAAAGGGATTTTCTAAGGAAGAAGCAAGAGTAGAAAGAACTTTGAGTGTAAAGTTTGAATGAGAAAAGATAAGGTTCTTATAGGTTGCTGGCAACGGTTCGGAACTGGTAATGGCCGACCAGCAACTGGCAGGCATTTAATGCCTTGGTAACTGGACTGACGGGACGTTTCATCGTATACGTCATAATTGGCTCGTCGCTGACATCATTACCCATCGAGTCGGAGTTCGGAAATTCATATCGTTTATCGCCATCTTCTTTCCGAGAAACGAGGGGACTATCTGTATACGGTCAAAACCGAGTTTGCCCTTCGTATGACTAATCGAGACTGGAACATGATAAACCAAGGTTCAACCTCGTGTAATATCGAGCCATGATGCGAAGTTAGGTTGCCAAGCTCGTGACCCAGAGACCGATCAAGATCGAGATCGGTCAAGATCGAGATCGAGTAAAATAGAGACCGATCAAGATCGAGATCGGCCAAGATCGAGATCGAACGAGACCGAGAAAAACTTATCAAGCCCAAAAAAAAACAAAAAACCGAAATATCCGCAATCTCAACGAAAATCGCGACGCATATCAAGGAGAGACCAATTAATTAACTTATCATGTGATTCTTTATTATATTTAGAATTATATTAAAAGTAGGACTTCCCTACTATATAAAGGGGGCGTGATCATTTGTAGAATGGAGGACAATTCACGTAATACAAAGCTATATACTTTTCTCTTTCAGCTTTCAATATTTTGTTACTCTGTTCATATACTAGCAGAATCTCCACTTGGTTTGAGAGTGATCTGACTCGAGGGCCAAGGCTAATTGATTCGTCCGATTTGCATTTATTTCTTTTACGGTTGATTTCAGTATTAATATATTTTTTTTTTTCAATTTGTGTCAAGTTGTATCACGTATCCTAAGAACCGTGTATAAATTCAGTTGTTATCCGTTTTTCGGTAAACAGAATTGCTTGCTGAAATAGTAAGTAAGAAAAACCTTTATTGTTAAGCACAATGTTTCATACTTCACATACAACAAGAGACCTTCACCACTTTCCACTGCAGGCAATACCAAACTGTGGGACCAGAAGTAACACCCCTAACGAACTCACTTATTAGACTTGGAGGCCTTGAATATGTGTTCCTTGAAGTATTTGAGTTCTGCTATGCTCTCCTTAATGTCATCCATAGCTCTATGCTTGCATTCCTTTTTAGGAGCCTTTTTGCTATCTAATGAAAAGGCAGGAAAATAAAACATGCAACACTCAACAATTAGATGTCAGCCTATTGTATCAGAATACAATATGCTAGCAGCTTGGCACTGAATGTTGTAATAAAAAATAGAATACCTAGCCGTCCGCCCCCTTAACCACCCCACTCATTGAGGGATACTTTAAAGTAGACATGATAAACCTCAAAATGTTGTACTGGTTTTACCTCTTGGAAACCAACGAACACACAATGCCTTGACACTGCTGACATCAACTAGTACATGTGAAAAAAGACTAGCCAGATTCGGCATGTATTTCTGCACAGATATAAATAGAATGAAAACAATTTAGCAACCAGCTTTAATTTAAAAGGCCAATCGACGGAAACTGTCTAGAAACACTGAAGAATGCTCGACTAAGTAGCCATGAAGCAAGAAATATATAGTAATCACATGTCCATTTACTTGTAGATGAGATACCTCAAAATGATACGTCTATAGATTTATACTAACATAACCATACCTTCAAAAATTGAAAATCCACGTAGACTGAATTTCCTGCTAGTAATGGTGTATATGTGCCAATGTTTCTCTTGACAAATTCAATAACCTACATAATGCAAGCAAAACATAAGAACAATAATGGACCACATAGCAATTGCCATGCATCTCAAATTCTCAATCATGCTCTATCCCAAAGATTCATCGGAAAAGCTTAGAATGAAATAGTAATAAATCAACACGAGGAGGCAATAAAATTTGCAGCAGAAAGAAGAAAAAAAAAAGGCAGAGGAAACGAAAGGTATTGATGTGGTTACAACTCTTCAACTTGAAACTATATTTTTTGCCTTGTGGAGTGGGAAAAATTGAAAACGGTATTCACCTTAAGGAACAATTTCAATGTGGACCAATTTCAATGTGAGGACATAGCCACTGTAAAAGTAATTGCTAATTTTCAACATCTAGTAGGCAAGGATTTATCCAAAAACGAGCACATGAAAGAACAGGATTTAGAAAATTTGAGGTTCAGTATCACATGAAGTTATTGTCCAGAACAGTACCGTAAGAGAAAAGTACATAGACCAAAACATACACGAGCTGACAACAGGCATGCACCTCTTGCGTTCGCGTTCTGGAAGCGCCACTCTTTCAAGAGCATTCACAACCCCTCAATATCTTGATGCGCATAAACGAGTTTACTCTTTAGGATCCGGTCTATGTTTTCAATTTANATTATCAACATCTAGGAGGCAAGGATTTATCCAAAAACGAGCACATGAAAAAACAATGGTTTAAAAAATTTGAGTTTCAGTATCACATGAAGTTATTGTCCAGAATATTACCCCTAAGAGAAAAATACATAGACCAAAACATACACGAGCTGACAACAGGTGCCTGTTGCGTTCGCGTTCTGGAAGCGCCTCTCTTTAAGAGCATTCACAAGCCCCTCAATATCTTGATGCGCATAAACGAGTATACTCTTTAGGATTTGGTCTATGTTTTCAAACCGTATCCTCAAGAGTCCCTTATGAGGTGAGAGAGACCTGTCGTACACCAAAAGAGGGGAGGGAAGGGGGGTGGTTTAACTGGCACTATGGTGGGATACTCAGAAATGGGTCCATTCCTCTACTTACCTCTTTTTTCAGCTTTCGGTACAATATTATATGCAACCAGTTCAAGGGAAAAAAAGAACAAGTAGAATCAGATGTGTGATTACACTGTAAATATTTTTGTCATTTATCTTCCCAATTCTGGAATCTCACTGTTGTACATTTAAGACAAAAGGCTAGACCTACCTGTTTCTCAGCTTCTTCTTCAGTGACCGTACTCTTAAGCACCCTCTCAGTCAAACCTAAATGAAAGTAAGATTATCTTGAACTAAAAAGGTGTTTTGACAATACTGAAAAAGTAACTTTATTCTAAATATAGCTGCCTAAAATGCAGAATGATGCTGATAGAGGAAAAGCAGCTCACCACTAGCTGCATGATGCTCTTGACACCATTCACCCATTTTGTCTAGACACTCCTTAGGTTGATTTATAACCAAATCCGGACCCTGTTTTTGGAAACATAAAATACTTTCTGCTTTAGAACCAGGAGGATATATGAAGTGATTCACAGATGCACAAGAAATGCTGTCATATGGCAAAATTGTACTGGCTGAAAAGGTCACAAGTTTTCCATATTATGCAGCAGTAGGATCAGTGTCATCCAAAGAGCACCGAAGCACTGGGAATTCTTCAGCATTCAATTTGGATTATAATGCAAGTACTGTATATATTAATTTAAGTTACTCGCACAAAACAGTTTTGTGTTATGTATCATTTGACCATTACTTCCCTTTTTCCTGATTAACCACAAGCTCAAAGAAAACCACTGTTTTTGAAAGGGGGAATATACAAACTTAAAAAGACGATGATGTTAATAACATAACAAAATCAGAGTTGCAGTGTATGAATACCTCAATTGAATTCGTCAAATTTCCATCTGTAACTACACAAGCAATCTCCAATATCCTATCAACTTCAATATTCAAACCTACATTGGAAGCAAAACAAAGTCATGGTGTGCTTTTCATCTTCGAGATTATGACTTAGGAGATGTGCAATGCTACTGTCCTTGGTGCATTTGAGACATGCAAAAGTTTTCTAGAGCAGTATATGTGCCCAGGCGAACCTTCGCTGGGGCGGGGGGGTCACCCGCACCCCGATACACAAACATTGGATGGGTGCATTGGTCAGCTTGCTCATTTCTGCTCGTATTTGGTGACCTGGGTTTGATTCCCAACTTAAAGAAATTTCAGTCCAGATTCTTCTTTTCTTTTTTTTTT